CACAGAATAAGAGTCCAAAATCATAGGACTCTTTTAAAAAAATAATAAAAGATGTTTGACATAATTCAACATCCCTTCATGATACATACACAACAAATTAATTATGTAAGTAATGTACTGCAGCTTCCACATAGGGAGGAGGCTGAGGTGTATGTAGATTGAGGAAGGCCCCAGGTAAGGAAGCCCAGCTCCCTCTTTTAGCATGGATGTGGATTTGGCAAGAAAAGGCAGTTGGCCCACTGGAAGTCTGGGCATATGGGTTAGGGGCAGCTTTGTGAACAGAAGTGACAATCAATCCTTCTCTGCTGCCTAGATAAACCAGAGTTTTGGCCAGACAATTGAGCACATACCAAAATAAGAGGAGGCAGACAAAGAGCATAGACTATGGCTCTGAAAAAAAAAAGTGATATGGAATTAAATTATTTGTCCCAGTGACCCTCCACCCATATTCTGTAAGTCCAGCTGGGAATGATTAGTTTCATTGGCAGCCCACAAATATAATACCATGATTTCAAGCCAACACCAAGGCAATGCATGATTTTTGACACCTTCAAACCACCTAAGGTTGTATTTACAATAGAAATTTATCATCGAAGTATTTACAGTAATTGTAGCATTTGTCTTGATATTCTAAGAGCACAGTTGTCATCCACTTTATTTCTGAAGTTGTCTTATATACCTTTTCTTCACTATGTGATCCATACTCAGATGACCTCCCAGAGACTGCAAAAACACTGTGAAACAGACTGAGAAAATGCACAACAGGATATCTCAGGATTGGACTCGGAGAAGATTCCATGCAATGTTACCTTCAAGTCAAAATAAACTGCATTATAGCTTGAATAAATTTGAAATTACTGTGACTTTTTAATTTTCTTACTTGATCACTCCACCATCAGACTTTACCCTTTTAAATTTTACTTTTTATTTTTTTCCCCTCTGTTCATTTACATGTCCATTTGAGAAGACAGGTACTTCCAGCTGCAGATATTACTGCTTTTAGAAACAGCACAGTAGTTAAAGGAGAAGAGTTGCCTAAGATTTAGAATTATTATTTTTTAAATATTGCTTGTGTATTTTGTGGCAAATATCTTCAATATGAGACTAAAACCATTTCTCAGTGCTCCAACATGGTGGAGAAATCATCTGAGCAGGAGGGAGATGGATGCTCATTTGCCTCTTCAAAGGAAACAACATTTTTCTAGCAGTAGCTAGTTTTGTTTAAGCCTTCCTTTGTTACACATTTGAGGTTACCCAGTATAATTCATTATCATAATGATGTGAATGAAAATTAATGTTGAATTTACAGCATCAGTTGAACAGAAAATGTGATGTATTTTATGCATATCAGTAAAAGAATAATGTGTTATACTATAGAGAAGGTAAATTGGAAGTCAATAGTTTACAATTTTCATTTAGATTATTGGAGTTACCAGTAATATGTCTTTAAATATCCTCTTTAATATACCAACAAATAAGTGATGAAATTTGTCAAGGATGAGTGATTAATGCATAATTATGCTATTAATTGATTTATTTTTCTTCAATACAATTGCATAAATCAGTGTTAGCAGCCTAAGCTAAGGGAAAACAATCATTTGCAAAGCAGAGCTTTTTTTTTAAACATACTTTTAGGATTTGCTTCACTGTTTGACATTGAATAATGATATAAAGTACATAAGTGTGAATATCTTGTATGTTTAGATTAAGAACTTTGTCTATTCTCTGACACACTGCTTGATCTCATTTGTGAATAGTTACCAGGGTACTTGAGTAGCATAGCTTTAATAGTTAGCACATGATAGTGGGCACCCTGGAGCTCACTAATGGACTTGGAACCCAGAAGTACTACAATGTGTACATGGAGTTTAGGAAATTTATTTTCCAAGTGAGTACCACCCCGTGAGTCTAAGTAAAGTTTCTTTTCATTTCTTATACTTGAAAGCTGATAAAAACATAACATAGGAGTAATAATGGGTCAAAATTTACAAAATAAATCACTTGTTTTATTGTAGGAATTATTAGGAGGCTGCATTAAATTATATGGGATATTGAATATCTATTGAAATTGATTTATTCATACATTAATACTATTGAATATTTAAATTCAGCACACATCTTTTCAGGGGAATTAGCATGAATAAATAAAAATGCTACTGGCTTAAAAAATGTATCCCAACACAATACAGGCCATATATAATAAACAGCTAATATCCTAATGACTGGGAGAAGTTGAAACCCTTATCTATGAGATATGGAACAAGACTAAGATGACAACTATTTCATCTCTGTTCAATAAAGTCCTGGAAGTCCTAGCACAGCAATTATGCAAAGGAAAGAAAGACAAAGCATCTAGTTCAGAATGGCAAAAGTTAAATCGTCCCTGATTGCAGATGATATGGTCTTATAACAAAAAAGATAAATCACACTGAAAACTTAAAAAAAAAATTCTAACAAAGAAACAAACAAACAACAACAAAAACTGTTAGAATTTGTAAATGAAGCAAATTGCAAAGTTGGCAGACACAAAGTCAGCATGGGTAAATCAGAAGCATTTCCTTATACTACCAGTTAAGCTATTAAAACAAAATCAAGAAAAATGTGATTTATACTAGCTGCAGGAAAAAAAAAATACTTAGTAAATTAAACCAAACAGGTGAAAGATCTTTAAATTAAAAATCATGAAATACTGATGAAATAAAATGAAAAACATCACTAAATGGAAAAATATTCAATTCTCTTTGGTTGGAAAAAATAACACTGTTAAAATATCTGTTCTTCCCAAGGTGACCTGCGGTGGTAAGTTTATAATAATTTACCTATAAAGTGTTTGTGGCATAATTTCTGATGATCTGGAACAGAAGAAAGAAATTGGAAGGACAGGCTCAGCCTCGCCTCAAATATTAGTAAATGATTCAAATTCCTACTAATTTTTAAATACACGTTTTTCACACAGCTTTTTGAGAGCATTTTTCACATCCTTATTTCTGAAACTATAGATTATTGGATTAAACATGGGAAAGACCACAGTATAAAACACTGCAACCACCTTGTCACTTTCCGGGGAATAGCTGGTGGTGGGACGTAAGTACATAAACAGGAGTGTCCCGTAAAACAACTTGACAGCTATGAGATGGGAAGCACAGGTAGAAAAGGCTTTGCTCCTGCCTTCTGACGACTTCATGCTCAGAACAGTCAGGAGGATGCAGAAGTAAGAGATAAATATGACCACAAAAGTGCTGATCTGGATGCCACCACACAAGATAAAGAGCAGAAGCTCATTGATGTGGGTATCTGTGCAAGACAAAGTCAGGAGAGGTGGGATGTCACAGAAAAAGTGGTTGATGACATTGGAACCACAGAATGGCAGCTTAACTGTGAGGCACACATGCACCAGTGAAGTGATACTTCCACTGATGTAAGCCAGTACAACGAGGCTGGTACAGAGTCTTCGAGACATTAGTGTTGGATAGAGCAATGGGTGGCAAATGGCTGCATAGCGGTCATAGGCCATTACCGCCAGGATCAGGCACTCTGCATCCGCAAAACAAGCAAAGAAAAACATCTGCAGTGTACAGCCATAGAAAGAGATACTCTTCCTGGAAGCTAAGAAATTCACCAGCATTTTTGGAGCAATTGTTGTAGAATAGCTGATGTCTAAGAAAGACAAGTTGCTAATAAAATAATACATGGGGGTTTGCAGTCTTGAGTCAACCTTAGCTAGGACTATTAAACCCACATTTCCTACCACAGTTAAGGCATACACGATGAAAAACACAAAGAACAATATGAATCTGAGGGGGAGATAGTCTGTGAAGCCAACAAGTAGGAACTCAGTAGGCCTGGTCTGATTACTCCCCAACATCCTCTTTGTTTTCTTGTTTTTTTTTTCTCATTGGAGATGGTCGGTATCAGATGATATGAATTGACTTTGATTGTGGATGAGTCAACATCTTTATTCTGCCTTCCAAGGAAACAAATAGAAGGTTAATGAGAGCACATATATGCCATTTTTTGTGACATTGTTTTGTTGCTTTGGCTTATGTCATTTGTTTAAAGAAAGCAATTGGTTATCAGTTTTGATTCTGGAAAATATTGGTTAGAATATGTTTTTCATGATACAGTAACTCTTTAAAAGTTATGCATTTTGGCTAATATTAGGTGTTAATCGTGGCTCACGTAAATGAGATCCAGTACAACGAGAGTTAACTAAATCTTTGGGAGTAAAGCTCTACTTTTACAATATTAAAACACATTCTCCCATGTAGAGGAGATTTGAGACAATTGTTGGAAAATACACTCACAATTTAACTACATTATTTACCAAATATCTGTGATCTTGGGTTGGGTAATAATATAACAGTTAAGAGCATAATAACAATTCAAGTGATGTCTGGGTTTAAAGCATAACTTTAGCTAGTCATAATGGTATATATCTACAATCCTGGTGACTCAGGAGCCTGAGGTATAGAGTTAAAAGTCCAAGGCCAGACTCATCAATCTAGCAACACCCTGTCTGAAATTAAAAAAGAAAAAAGTGATAGAGCACCCTGATTCAATACCAAGTACCCAATCAATCAATAAATCTTGACTTTGCTATCTTACTGTTTCTGTGATCTGAGTAAAGATATTTGATCACTCTTTTGTAGAACAATAAATGATTAGGTAACAATAAATGATTCATTCATGTGACTGCTCATAAAAGATACAATATGAGCATTTATTAAATCAAATTTATGAAAAATAAATAAATTGACTCTTTTTTATTTGACTCAATAGCTTGAAGTATGCAGATAGTTTCTAAGATTCATCCTGTCTTTGGCTTCCTGGATATATGAGCTTTGGTCTCATGTAAGAATATTTCTGAGTTGTTGTATATATAAGGGTGTGCAGGTGTATGGACATGTGTTTATCAGAATGCATTATTTACAAATGTTTAATCTTTTACATATGATCTGTATTTATTGTTTTCATCCCCAAGATTTCTTTCTTTTTCTTTTCTTTCAGGTAGACCTATAGTTGGTGTGATATCCAGAAAAATAAGTGTTTAAAGGACAGCTGTTAGGTCTATAACTAAGAGCTTGACAGAGAAAGTAGGCCAGGTGGACCTCTGAAACTGTAGCAAAGGAATCTCAACTCTTAAATACCAGGGGAAATGTGCAAGTGTCATTTTGAAACTTTATAAAACATTTTAGTTCTCAGTCCTGATAATTCCTTCCTTCCTTCCTTCTTTTCATCCTTCTTTCCTTTCTAATTTCCTCTTTATCATTCTTTCTCTCTCTGTCTCTCTTCCTCTTTCTATATTTCTTTTTCCTTTCTTTTTTCTCCTGACAAAATGGTGGTGGTTTAAAAAAATCAATTGAGGAACAAATTAAATGTAAGAAAAACAGGAGATGTCGCATGATCTTGAATGGAAGATGGTAACAAACAGAACTGTAATAAAGGCAAAAACTCTCACATAATTATCTAATAAATGGATTTGTGAAAAATATTAAAATGTATTTATATCAAGTGTGTTAAAAAAGGTTAGTAATTTCAACATTATACCCTAGATGATAAATCAGAGATGTGTAGGTTTTGTAGCTTTAATATAATATCTCTTTAACAAAGCTTTAATATGATATGTCTTTAACAATCAATGAAAGTACATCCCCTTAAAGAAGCAATGACTAAACTGGAAAGAGATGATAGCAAAACAAACAAAATGGATATCAAAACAAAACACTCTAAAAAAGTTAGTATATATATATATATATATATATATATAGAGAGAGAGAGAGAGAGAGAGAGAGAGAGAGAGAGAGATCTTCTTTCAAGTGGAAGAAGACTCTACCTTGAGACCCCAGGCTCATCATATTTGTCTGTTCCTTTGTCTTGACTTTTATGGGTGGTGTAAAAGAGGTCACAGTATGGAAGAATAAGAAGGTAATTAAATATTTACAGTGCTTGGCACTAATTCAGGTTGTATATTAAAAGTAATTTCATCTCTATGTCATCATTTCCTCATCTGTAAAATTATTCCAAATCTATTTATTAAAGCATACCCACTCCATTATTCAGAGTTGTAATGTAAGGCAAACATAAGAGCTCTAAAGCTGCTTAGCAAACATTTATGTTTGTTAAGAGATTATTATTTGAAATTGCTAAAATTATTCGTGCATATCCACACATTTTCTGTACTCACTGGCAACAAAGAAGCAGGTGAATAGAAAAATAAAAATTAACAATTCCAGAAACCATCACCAAAGTATTTCCATTATACTCCTACCATCATAACACCCTAACCAGTAAGGCAAAGTAAACTTTCCTTTCCTTGAATAGATTTCATTTGCATTTTCTATGAACTAAAGCTCTGAGGTTCCTCATGTATCACCTGGTAATGTGCATTAACTCTGGATGATGATGGTGATGAAAACTATCAATGATTGATAAAAGTTATGGAGACTGGCCAAGATATTTTCTGAGCACTTGGCAAGAAACATTTTTGTTTTTATGATTATCCTGTGGAATGGATATAATTTATTTTTATAGCAAATACAACTAAAGAACATAGATATAGCTTGCCATACAGTCAGATTTCAGTTTTCTCTTTTTACTCAAAATGCGGTTATCTTGTGTGCTCTTGACACATTTTCACCTGTTGTTGGAATTTTAAGCTGGGTTATGTGATTATACAGTGTTCTTACTGGGAAGAGGCTGACAGTGGCGGTCCAATTCACATTCTTATTTTTCAGATGGGATATCTACATCATATTCAAACATCATTCATCAAGTAATGTGTGCATAAAGGTTATAATGGAGCTATTACCTCATTGAAATTTAATGAGTATATTCACTCAAATTCATAAATAGTTTATAAGATCCATGTCAAAAATTTTTCCTTGAGTCCCATAATAACTAGTTAACTGTTCAGAGGTTCTATCCATGCCACTACAGAAGAAAAGAATGAGTATCCTATAATCATTATACTTCTTTTTTTAGGGCTTAGCTCACTCTAGTCCGATTTGAGATCAAAAAATATAAGCTGAGCCAGCTTGCACCTGTTTTCAAGGAAATTACATTGACAGTCCTATTTTCAAAAGGTGTCCATAAATAAATTTTTATTTGATACTCTGAAGGAGAAAGTGAGGTTACAGAGATGCTCTAGCTAATCACATTTAATTCAGTCTCTCTTCTTTAAGGATGATGAGCTGTAGGCCATAAGCAAGTAGAATTTGGTGTTAAGCAGATTTGCATTTAACTTCAAGTTTGACAGCTAATCTAGTAGTCATTGAACTTCTATCTAAATTTCTGTGTTTAATGAATACAATAAAATACCATGAGGTTAAAATGAAGACTAAACTAGATAATTTATTACAGCACATTTCATAGGGATTTTTACATCATAGATACATGGAAATTTATTAACTTCTTCTTCTTATATCTATTTATTAACTACTTATTATTATTACTATTAAAATAATTCAATATCTGACTTTGAAATGTTAAATTTTCCTAGCTTATTTTTAAAAGAACAAATACAAAACAAATTAATCATTCTGTGGATGAATGTGTGTCATTTGCTCATAGAATTTAAGGTTGAACTTCCAAATGCATAAAATTATTGTGGTTTTCACAAAATTCTAAAATGCACAAAGTCAACTCTCTTCTCATCATAATAATCAGGTGGTAGATGGTGATTTTTGTAATCACCTGGGTAAGGTAAGCTTAGGTCTATACCCCATCAACTTCAGCCTGCTTTCTCAGATCATACACTACCACAAACTGATAAAAACCCACTTGGAGTTTGTAAAAAAGCATTTCATCTCCAATGAGTCCATTATCTTTATGACACTTGAAGCAGGTATTTTGTTGATGCTTTGTGGAATAAATCACTTACCTTCACACACCATCTAATACGTTGGATTATATAATTTATTTTGTAGAGGAGGTGAAAGTATTTTTCTCTAGGTTTTATCAATAAGTCTTATAAGAGATGTGTATTTATCTTCTAGTCTGTGTCAGGTGGGACATTATCCCAAGAGAATCCCTGACCCCATCAGAACATCATATTGGCAATTACTCTCTTTTCAGTGCTGTGGCTTACATGATACATTTTTAATTAAAAAAAAAGAAAAAGAAAGAAAGAAAAAAAGGAAAGAGAAAGAATGGCCACACAATTTGACTAGGGGTAGACAGTTTACAACAAGCAAATGACCCCATCACCACAAGATTTGTATTAAACACCATCAACAACAAAAGTCTTTAATTCCAGCCATCATTAAAAAAAAATTCCTGGAAACCCATGGTTTCTATCAATTCCCACTATGAATTCAAACACTTAGAGAGACTTTGAAGTATGTGGTTACATGAAAAATTCTAAAGTACAAGCTCAATACTATTGAGAAGGGTCTCTGGCACCCAATTATCTGAAAGAATGGAATATATCTTAAATGCTAAACTGCAGATGTAAGAGCTGATGACTCGGACAACCAAGTTATGAATGCCTGACAATTTCACAGCTTGGAAGGCCTTGAGATGCTTTTTTAAATATAAATTTTATAAAATTTTAAAATTATTACTAACAATTTCTTACCTTAGCAGATTCTTTAAAGGATTGAGATAATACATGTAAGGGCTTAGAATCTGGGTAATTGCTTCATGATTGTTAACTTTGTTTAGCAAATGTGAAAGTATTTTCAACAGTATTTTTCAATAATTTAAACTAAAGGTCTATATATTTTCATCCTGTAAGTATCAACAATAATATAGTCTGTACCTTGCTATGCTTATGGTACACAGATGGAAGAATGGATGAACAGGATCCTTACCCATTATAATCAATTGACCTCTTTATAATGCCTGGAAGAAAAATCAAAATCAGCT